GGCGGCGTCACGGCCGCGCTGCCCTGTCCCACACACAGGGTGCTCGCTGCGCTTATAGATACAGGCTTTATTGTATTTATTTTTTTTAGGAAAAAAAGAACGACAAATAGAAAGGAATCATATAGTACTGAAATAGGCAGCAGTAATGTAGGACACAGACAGGTTCAGGGCCGCCCTGGTGCGAGGGGTGCAGGCACGGGGCAGCCCCCACAGTGCAAACTTCGGCAGGACCATAAAAAAATAACTGCAAAAATGTTTGTGCCAGAGCAGCGGCCACAGGGGCCAAAAGGGCCTCAAGGGGCTGTTTTCTGCACTATCCTTTTGTCTTCTTCCAGCTTCTAAGGTTCAAATCCTTCAGCCTAAGCCCAGTTTTAAACATCGGTGCTTAAGATCTGAGTTCAAGTAGAAATAAGTCTGTCTACAGCATTATGTGACTTTCGAAGGGGGATGAAATGGGATTCTCAGGAGTTAAGGTTTTAACTTTACCAGCCATGTAGTTGTTTAGAGTTGCTCCATCATTGATTAGTATGATAAAGTAGCCAAAAAGAGAATAGGATGACTGACTGTGTATCAGAAACCTAAAATCCAGCTATAAATGTCTGATATTGCCATATAGATTGATGGTCTGTTCTACTAATAAAATGTCCAGTTACTTGCAATAAACCTCAATGACTTAAGTGACTTATACAGGTGGAAATGTGTGCTTAAAAGTGTGTGGATCTTCTGGGAAGAAGATCTTTAGTTTCCTAGAAAAATGATTGCTAAAGGCTCATAAAGTTATTTTCCACAATGCTGTTACAGAAATCTGCTGTAAATTTACAAGAGGGGGAAAGCTTTTTAATTTCGACTAAAGTGAGAAAGACAATGCCACAAGATATTTATAGTGCTATTTACAAATCTATTATTAAAAGGATGTTCTACTTTACTTAACAAACATCAATATAAAAATGATTTTTAAGGAACCCACAAGTATTAATGAGTTCATAGGTTTGTAGTGGGTTAAAAATCAACTTGTCAAACATTGTAAATTTTCCTAAGAATCACTAAGAAATTGTGCTTATATGAATTCAACTAACATGAAAAAAGAAAGTAGCATTTCAGAACAAACATAAAACTGAATTCAAGCACAGAAAGAAACAAAAATCCAGAGATGTTCCTATAAGGAAAGCTTTTCCTTGGCAAGGCACAAGATTGAGGAAGTTGCTTCCAGCACCTGTACAAAATCGGTTGGTGTGAGATTATAGAGCCCCTTCAATAAGAAGGTGCTACGATATGAATGAAAGCTGCCTTTTTAGCTGGAGTAGGATTCATCACTAAGAGCTACTTCCAGCAAAACATCCTGAAACTAAAACACTTCATTATTCTGAGTATAGCTGACAACATTGTTGCGCAGTTTCATGTCTGTCCTTGCAATTGCTCATGACTTCTACACATGTCACATTTTTTAGTTTCTTTCAAGAAAGCATTTTCAACACGTAGTTTTTCAGTCTCCTGTAAAACAGGGGAAAAAAAAAAACAATACTTAGAACTATATAGGTATTAGGGAAGCTGTATTCATTTCTCACAGATTTCAAAGTCAGTCATATCTGCCCTTGCTCAAGTGTTTGAAACGATATATACTTGAGGAAATGGAGCGGGGTAATTTTTATTTAAATGTCTGAGTGGAGACAGACCAGTCACACAGTTGCATATAAGCGAGAGTCTTATTAACTAGAAGAGGAATTCGACCATTATCAAAGCTCAGCTTTCTTTTACATCAGGCCATCATTGCACCTGGATTCTGCTCCCTGAAGCTTACCTCAGTGAGTTTAGCATAATCCTTCTTCAGCTTCACAAGATACTGAATCTTCTGGTTTAGATTTTGATGACCAAGCAATTTCCCATTCTCCTCAGCAAGAGTTTCCACTTGCTTCCTCAGCAAGTTCATTTCCTGCAATTAATAACTAATCATTACTTGTACCTTGACTTTAGCTTTCCTTTCTCCTCCCAGAAAGAAAAAAAAAAAAAAAGAAAATAGAACACCACAAAAAAAATTTCCTTTAAACTCATTGACACTGCCATTTAAATGTGTTGAAACGCATGGCTTAAGAGTTGCCTCATGCAGGAAATAAGCATTTGTCACTGGCCTTCTTGGGTACAATGTTAGATCTCTCTAAAGGAGAAATGCATGATTTGATTTTTATTGTGAGTTGCAGCAGTGATTTCTGTACCCAAAATTCCCCTAGTGTTTTACCAGAAACCCAAGAAATACCATTGTAAATGTAGCTAAATGGTAAGGCAAAACATTGTCTTTGATTGCCAAGTATTTCACAATATCAACTAACCGGTAGTGGTTTTACCTCCACTGAATATGATTCTGTCGTAACATTAACAACAAAAGTACACATTTACAACCTTTGCAATTCTGTCTTTCTCTTCATATGTTTCCTCCAGTTTTGATCTAATTTCTTCTTTTTCATGAAATGCTTTCAGCTCCAAAGCCCTTGTTCGTTCCATCTCCAGGGTCATTTCAAGACAGGTATTCTCTTTGATTTTGAGGGTATTTTTGATTTCTTCTAGTCTGCCAATATAAAAGCATCACAAAATACTCAGAAACAAAATAAATGGCATATGACTGATTTATGTCAGCCTCTTTTTTCTTTTCTTTTCTTTTTTTTTTTTTTTTTTTTTAAAAAAAAAACACGGTTTTTCTGTAGAACCCAGTGCTAACAGAAGGAAAGCATATATGCTGCTTCCCAGCTTTATGGTGGCTGCTGTTTGTGACTAGCCCATGGCTTGGAGCTGCTCCTGGGAAGCATGCTGCTTCCAAGCCAGCACATACAATTGCACAATAGAAACTTAGCCCAAGGGGACCCTTGGAGATCACCTAGCACAGGGTAAATCCACCCAATGAACTCTGCTAGTTTTGGCAGCTTGTTTGTATAGGGCTTTCCCCTAACAGCATTTTTGCTGAGAAACCTCACTGAATAGCTCAGAGGGAGTCTGAGCTTGTTTGGCCAGGGGACAGGACAAGCACCATCACTTTGGAAAAATGCCACATCTGCTGAGAATGGCTTAACCCTAACAGGATGACAGAATATTGAACTGTGTCATCAAGCTTAACAGCATTTCTACTTAAAAGTCACCACATATAGAAATTCAAAGCCCTGTGCTGTAGATCATTTTATACAATCCCAAAAAGTCCCTTGCAAGTGAAGCTGTTGCACAGTTCCACTTCCTCAAGAGTATTTTCTTCAAACTACTTACTCTTGCAGCAAATTAGTAATAGGTACTACTACCACCTACTGATGAAAGGGGGTAAAAACGGGGTGTTTTTCTCAAAAGTATAAACATTCTCTCCACACTGTCTTACAAATTCATGAATTTCAAATACTTGGAATTGAATCTTATTCAAATTACATCTTTTTGCTGTTAATAAGTTTAATACAGATCTCCAATCCGTTGAGAAATACTAAACTTACTCTGCTTTGATTTTCAGCATCTCCTCCATTGCTTTATTCTGTAAAAGTTCAAAATATAAATTACATTCTTAATATTTAATATATGCACATACTTAAAATTATTGCTGTCCCTTACTTAATGCCTAGTATCTTTAAGTCAGATGCCACCAAAATAACCCTGTTACCCAATAACTCGCATCTCTAACATTCACTGTAAGTTAATGTTGTTATAGGCACATATTTGTTTCATACCAGCACAGATGACTCACATTAATGTCACTGTCCATAAATTAACCTCTTTTTGGCAGAAATCTTGATATTAGCAAGTGAAATAATCTTTGCTTTCCAACCTACTGGCAATCAATCAGATCTTTTGATTTGAATCTTATTTTACTTATTGTTCTGTAAATTTGACACCAAATTCATTACAGTTAAACCAAGGTAGAAACCATGAGAGATCAGTTTGAAGTGCTGTGTCCATCAGAATTCAGTAGCAACCAGTGCTTGTTTCACTGACACAAGACAGAAGAAAACATGATGAGCAATAATTGCTATCAGGGAAACAGAAACTGAATACTGGTGAGTGACAAACCTTGGCCAGTCGTTCTTCAGCAATCTTCTCCTCTTTGGCATGTTGAACATCAGGATGTTTCTGATCACTAGGAAATCCAAGAATTTGAGTAAAATTTTGTACGTACAAAAGGAACGAGTAGTAAAAAAACAGTTTCTCCAAATTAAGATTGTAGTGCATGCCCATTTAGATCATAAGGCATAACTCTGAAAGCGTTTTAACTTTAATGTTCTAGAAATACCACATTTTCCTTTGGTAGAGCATAAATGTAGAAAAAATAATGTTTTAGTGAAAAGATCATTTGACAAAAATTGTTACCACTATGCAACTGTATGTTAGATAACTTCAGGACTGAGGTAAGTGATTTACCTACAGTGTTCACTTGCATATAGACTTCAGAAAGCGACTCCCTCCTACAAGATCATTTCTCAGTGATCTTGCCAAAAGTTAAGAGATTTTTGTATTAGGAAGACTTGGAAATGATTTTACTAATTTTTAACAATCATCACTACAGGTAGAAGCAAGCAAACACCATAAAAATAAAAAACCAAACCCGTATGCGAATCAAAATACCATTAATGCTAGTTCACAGGTGTCTCAGAACTAGCCTTCAGGGGAAAACTGTACTGATTAGTCATTATCCTAATATAAAAGTCTGTTATTTTCAGTAGCTTAAAATCTATTTTGACCTACCTAGATAGGGTGATATTTTCCATAGGTGATATATGCTGCCTTAGGTTGAATGTGTGGGTTGGCCTGGTTTTATTTTTTGAATGTTTAGTAATAGTTTCAACAGTCTAGCCACTTCCAGTCACTTCTTCCTTAGCTTTGTACAAATCCTCTACAGAACCCACCTACATTTAGCCAGGTTAAAAATCTTTGGGAAAGACTATAACAAGCCCCTGTTTCCTCCCTCTTGGTAGTTACATGACCTGTAAAATCCCCAAATACATCATTGGTTACACTTCAGTCTTTCAAGTTGTAGCACTGGTCAAGCCGCATCGATGCCTAAGAGGTGACCAGAGCCTGCTCCAGCTCAGCATTGCAGAGGTGAAGCCTGACCTTCCTTGTATGGCTGCTCTTCCCTGTGCTAAGGCTTAATACCAAAAGAGGGCAGATCTTGGCCTCATCTTGTACTCTCAAGCACCCACCTACAGCCTCCAAGATAGCCCAAGATCCTCACCACTCTATCATATGCAAGACCAACAATCAAATCATCTTGGTTACAACACTGGCCTTGCAAAGGATAATCAGCAGCTACTGCTGTCAGCTGTTTCCTAATGTTTAAGGCAGGGGTCTGTGTTGAGAATATCCCAACCTGAGATAACCGAAACCTATTTTTTCATAGAACATGTAATATAATACAGCCTTCAACCTAGCAAAACTGTAACTCCTGTCAGCTTCAACCGCTGCTGGGAATTGCAAATGCTTTGCAAATGATACCCCAGGGTTTCAAGTCAGGGACCCAGCAGATAAGGAACATAAAATTAATGCTCTTATGTGGAAAAAAGAAGTCTAGGTAGGTCTAAATGACCTACCCTATAAACCACATGAAAAGCTAAGCCATGGAAACAATTTTTCAGGGTAAGTAACTATCACATGTTTTTATGAAAAATCCCTATCACTGCACACTTGAGACCTGCTGCCACAAACTAAGTAGAAGGCCCTAGAGACAACAGTATCATTCAGTCTCCCACCTGATCTGTCCCAACAGGCTTGTGCACAGGCTGTTTTCCACAAGTTCCATGAATCACTCAATAACTGAAGGTTATTGTATAATAAATACATATGCAAGGACAAGTTGGGGGTGCACAGGCACCTGCAGTTAAAGCATCTTCTAATTGGAATGCCTAATATGGTAAGCTTAATAACGGTCCCTTAATTTTGAATACTTATGAAGAAAGCTGTTTCTCAAACAGGCCACACTGATACTTTATTGAATAGAGATAGCTAGAAGTGGAAAAAAAAAAGTCTTGGAACATAATAGGCAAAAAAAAAAGTTATTACTTATTACCTTGGCATTAAGTTATCAGTCTAGGTCAATATTTAGTAAACTACCCCCTTAAAAAGTGATTGTCATTAAATATCAACTGTGTACTGTCAATGAGTTATCTTTTTGTCAAAATACGAAGCAGCAGAGTATGCAATTCTTTACAAAACCAAAAAGGTTAAAAAGCAGCAGTGTCCAAAACCAAATCTTTTCAGTCCAAAGTAAAGTACAGATTGCAGTTCAAATATCAGGATGCCTCCAATCTGATATCTGATACAAGTGTGCCATCTCTTCAGAAGTTTGTTCCTCCTTGAAAACATGAAGTGGTTCCACTGTTGTTGAATTCATTGTGGTATTTTATATCTACTGAATCCATAGCTTCATATGTAGTGTTGAAATTTATAATGTATTATAATGGCTACACATGCAATTTTGTATTCTTCATGCATTTGTACGCCTAACTTTACGCATAGCTTGTAATTTGAAGTCAATAGTTTGTACGTCAGTAAAAGACTTTCACCAAAAAGGCTGAGATTGCTATTAATTATACAAATAAGTTGTAATGCAGTATTGTATTCCAAAACAAATGTAAATTTCAGTTTATCCTATCCAATTGTTTAAAGACAAAAATGTAAAAGAATTTTTTTTGTTTTACCTGTTTTTGCTTTGTCTCTGAGCTTCTGCAAGTTGACTCTGTAAGTTCCTGTTGTTCTCTGTTAGTATCTGCATTTCCAGTTGCAGGTTCACCAATTCGCTTAACTGTTCCTAAACAAGAAATGCAACAACACAGAAATGAAATTCCTATGTTTATTTTTGTTTTTGGTGAACCTATTTTAAAAAGTCAAGCTGATAAAACTATTTGAAAGAAAACAAGCACATTTTTGCTTCACAAAGACCTGCACAACCCCTTTAATTACAGCTTTGTTAAAAACTTGCTTCTAAAGAAGCCAAAACAGTTACACCAGCAAAAGTGATATTACCATTGATATTCATGCACAGTAATCAATTGAGACCTCAGGAAAGTGAGATATATGGACACCCCCAGGCAAGTTACCACCATCTGTGTAAAACTTTCCTATCACCAGAGAGAGAGAGTTAGAGGAGGCTCCCATTTCCAAGAAGCTGTCAAGCTAGCTACCACACTAGGCAGGAAGACCAAGAGCAGCCTTCCTGCATTACTAGACATACTGCTAATGAGGGCCCATTAACACAGAATACAGAATTCACATTTACTTTAATCCAATGGCCTTTTTAGGGTTGAACTTACAGTACCTTAAGTCTTAGAATTTCATCATTTTTCGCTCTTCGTTCTTCATTCAGTTCACGTACAAGGTGCTCTAGAGTAATTGCAGAAGCCCTCCGATCAGCTATTTCTTGTTCATGAGATTCCAAGATTTTTGCCAGATTCACATCAAAATTAGGAGGAGTTTTTGGACACTAGCGAATTAAAAAAACTTGTTGTTTAACTCATTGGTAAACTTTTTCAATGAGCTAAGTTCTAATAGCTTTTAGAGTGAAAGCATTTCTCTCAGTTGCCATACCTGAGGAAATGTTGCTGAAGATGAGTCCACAAAGCAATCTATTTGCTTCATTTTTAGTTCATATTCATTCTTCCTCTTCTCCAGTTCTTCTGTCCTTTTATCCAACTATTAGAAACCCCAGTTAGAATTAGATTAGTGCATAATACCTCAAAAATGTTAAACAGCAGAGATCTCTACTTTGAATAAAATATTTAAATACATCCCATAGATGATTTAATAATATTTCAGACTTCCCTTTCATGGTTGCTTTCTATGTTTACCCAATAAAATCATTAATCGCTGAACAGTTGCATCTAACAAGCACTGCTGCAAAGCACACTATATGCTTATATATACACACACTGTCTCTAAATGAATTGTGTTGCTCTTTCTGGCTTTTTTATTTTTATTTTTTGCCTTGGGAATGTTTAATCTGCAATTTAAAGGGATTGTTAACAGAGATGAACCAGTAAGACCTTCAATGGCAAACACTCCTGGTCAAAACATGGTCTAATATCACCAATAAATTGACTGATACAGGCTTAACTTCCTCAACGAACATGCTAACATGATAGAGGGCCCTTTTTTTCTGAAATCTGTCTTCCTTTATTAGAGATTTGCCAAAAGAGGTAAGATATATTACAGTCAGCACTATGACAGTTAGGACTATTAAATTTTGAAAAAGCTTAATATAGCTATTTGTTCCAAAAGCTCCAAATCACTCTCAGATTGCATCCGTTACAGTGCTCAATAATCATCTCCAATATATAATGATACTGTTTGTGAACAAGTGTAAAGGAAGGGAAGAAGTAAAGACTTCATTTACACTAATTAAGACTGCAGGTTACTCTCCAGGTACTGATAATTCTATTCTGCTTTTAGAGTTAGCATTTCTACCATCTCTAGACGCTTTTTTCCAAGCATTTAAAGTTTATCTAGTCTTTGTTCAAAATCCTTGTTCAAAGCACTGCTCACCAACAGTATTGTGTACAAAATGTTCTAAAATTACAGGTAACTCCCCACCATTTCTATAAGCTGTTAATAACTACAACTGCTCCAAAGAGCTAATTATCAGGAGACTTTCTTGTCATACCTGTTCCCTCAGTTCCTGGATTAGGGTTTCTTTCTTTGTTATGTCTTCCTGTGCACACTGAAGCAGTACACTATGTTTCGTAGAGGCTTCTGTCAGCCTCATCAGCTGCTCTGTGGCATGATGCAAATCTTCACACAGAAGGTCTCTCTATTTTAAATTGATGGATGAATTAAGAAAATATTAAGAGTTATAACTGTAAAGCAGCTGTTTTAAGATGTTTTTGTCACTGTTGCTAGAGACCACTAACAACTACAATACCTCATTTTTCCTTATTTTTTTTCCTGAATTGTGCCAAAAATTCATCTATGAAATTCTTATCTTAGCACGTTTTCCCAAGTCTCGGCTGCAGAATCAAAATGAGAACCATCTTACAATATAGTTATATATTTGTGAGAAATGCTTAGAATCAACCACGTTTTTCAAACATAGCTACATTTTTTTTTAGTATATGTTATTTAATAATAGAAGGCTAGAAAGGAAGACCTACATTTAATTCAATGTGAATTAATCTTTGCAGCTTTTTTACTGCACTACTATTCTATAGATGTGTCTGGATTTTTTTCTAGTATCTAGTCTTCAGTCCCTTGATCTGACAGGGCATCATACCTCCACGAGGTATATTAACATAGAAGAGGATCAGAATTTCCTATAATGACCCTTGGATCAGAGGGATCATCTCATATAGTCAAAAAAGTATGAAGGAAATTAGCATTTGATAAACTCAAACCTTAAAATTACGTTGGGAGGCAGATACAAGCTCCTGACGACAAAGGATAACACCATAGTAAGAATGCCGTTACTTTTGCTAAAAACCCTAAACAATCCAAAATAACCAACCACAAAATCCACACAATTCACTTGGCTGGAATCCCACACTACTCAGACATCATTTTTGCTAGCTGTTTGGATTCAGCATATGGAGTATGACTGAATATCTTGTAGAACCTGAATTTAGTCATAAGGACAGGCCAATTATTTTGGGTGAAGGGCATGTTCTCCAAAATAAAGGAAAGGGTAATAAGAGGAAAGACTGAATTAAAAAGTTATAGTTATAAAAGCAAAGCTGTAGTTGAATCAAACATGCATCCTAAGTCTGCTTCCAGCAGATGGAGCTTTTGGATAAAATTATGAGTTAAGAGAACCATCTAGTAAAGTGGCAGTGGGAGAAGAGATAATGTTATATATATTATTCTAACTTATATTTTCTCAGCTGCATCATCGAATACTGCTGTTAAATTCAGCTGTCTCCTCAGTCGCCTTAAGAATAAAGCAGGCCTTTAGCATAGGTATTTATAAAGCAGCTTATAAAATATTTATTTCAAATAATTTAGCAATATTTGTCAGGTATTTCACTAAAAAATCCTTTCAGAACATCCTAATCAGTTATATTTGAACTAAATAAGGTTAAGTTTCATACTAGTATTTTGAACAAAAACACATGGAATTCCTTTGTTAAACAGAGAATCACAATTGTAGTGTTCACAATACATGGAACACTAAAGCTTTTACCTCAATGTTATCTGCTATTTTTTTTCTCTCCAAGTCTTCCATCAGTTCTTCAATCTTCTTTTCCTGATCCTCTATGATTGCTTTGCTTTCTTCTTTTGCAGCCAAAACAGAATGATACTTGCACTAAGAAAAAAAGTTAAATTTTAGAATAGGAATGAAAACATGCTGCGAGTATTGACAAGTACCATATAAATAAGTGCATATCATAAGTCTTATGACAACTATAAACCTCATGTTTAAAAACTCATCTGTGTGAATGATACTAAAGTTAGTGAAATGTCATACTTGTTCAATCCTACAAACCATAGGTTATAAAAAAATGGTTGTCAGAATTAAAGAAAAATTAACCACTATACACATCCATTACAGATAGAAAAGATATGTAGAAATTAGTCTCAAACATCTTGTCCTTAGCACCTTTTGGATTCATAGTTCATAAGTATAGAGCAGCCAATGGAATGTTTTAGATGCTATATCAGTTTCTGTAAGATCTACTTAAATAAATTAGATGCATCATATTTATACGTAGGTTATTCACGTAGGTAATTTTAATTCTTTGTGTTTACAGATGTAGATAATAATCATTTCTCAGTTACAGTTCACAGAAATGTCTGAGTTCAGCTTCAATTATAAATGTCTTAAAGCACCAATTTCCCAGAAAATCTAAATGTGAGTGTCAGCTGAGTGTAGCTTACAGGATGTGAATAGGTCCCTTCAGAGACGCTGCTCTTTACCCACCACGTGGAAAGAGTTCGGTTTCAAGACAGCCTTAGGCATAAAATGTTCAGAAGATTTCAACATGTCAAAACAAAGAAGTTTCCTTCCATAACACTACAGCAAGTTATGCTGTTTGAGACCTGTGATAAGACATGTCATTGCCTTCCATTTTTGAAAACCTATACTATGTCCTTCAAAATGACAGAACATACATTTATGTCCTCCAGCTCTCTTGTCAGCCCATCTATGGACTCAGTTTTATGATTAATTGAAGACCTCAGCTCCTGGATCTGTTTCATCAAGTCAGTTACAACTTCCTGCAACACAAGAAAAAAGGTCACAATTTTTAAAAAAAACGTTTATTACTGGACATTGTTTGGTGTATATTTTGTCAATTCCAGATTTCAAACCAATACTTGAAAATGAGGCCTCAATTTGCACATGTAAAGGAGTAACAGGAAATGCTCTGATAAATCATGAGCTTTGTGCTAAGCACTTACTTAAGAGTTAAATAATCTGCTCTGCTGACTAAGAGAACACTAGTTCCCCGTACAAAAGCTTTAGAGTCAGTCTGTGATGCGCTTCTAATAGAAGATTAGAGTCGCTAGCTGAAGCTCAGATTTGTTAGGAAGGAAAGTACATTCAGAAACACCACTGCACCAACAGTACCAGATTCTTCAGACCCTACACATCAGATTTGTTTTTGGTAGAAAGAAGCAACACTTGAAGCAATGCATTGTGTTGATTAACAAATACACTAGGCATTTTTTTAAAAAACTATTTTACATATAGAATAAGTGTTTGTGCTATGAGAATTCTGTTATTTAAGCTTTCCAAAGCTGGAGCTATATTTGCATGTAAGCATGCTTCAATTTTATTAATAAAGAGTCATAATCACAGTCATGTTCTTATGATGCCTCACCTTTTCTATTAACCCACTTCAACACTGACTGGAAGGCCATGCTAATCACTAGGGAAATTATGCACTGGATGTTTCACCCACCAGATAGCTTAAGCCTCTGCTATCCTTTTCCTCCTCTCCCTCTTCTCTCCTTTCTACGATCATCTGCTATCCTTTTCCTCCTCTCCCTCTTCTCTCCCTTCTACGATCATCTGCTATCCTTTTCCTCCTCTCCCTTTTCTCTCCTTTCTCCAATCATCTTGTATTTTCTCTAAGAGTACACCAGTTTTCTCCCATTCTGCAAACTCCATGTGAATAAAAGCTAGAATTTATTTTACCTTGATACACAGCCAGACTTGACTAGAATTACCAAGAATCATAAAAATGTTTGGGGCTTTTAACTCAGCTTCAGAGCATGCAGTTACCTGCAAAACCTGGATATCAATAACACAAATAAGCCCAAACCTTATCTGCATCATTTGTCTTCTTCAAAGAAGCAATAATCTCTTTATCGGCAGCCACCTTCTGTTCCAATTTCAGCAGCTTTGCTTCCTAGAAAAATATATTAGTAGTGAAAGAAAGCCTTAATTACTTAGGAAATCTGTTTGTTAGATGCACAAAGCTATGAAATAAATGGAAAGAACTTAATTGCATACCTTACTGGGAGGAAAAAAAAAAAAAAAAGCAGTGACAGAGTAATCTGAAACTAGAGAACTCTACATTTATTTACTGTTTATCTACAGAACAGGCCAGTTCTACACCAGTTAGAATGCTATCAATGCCCACAGAGATCCATAAACATACAATCTGGAGTCATTTAACTCCAGTATTGTACCTGCTGCTCATATCGTGTCACCATTTCAGAGGAAGGTTTCTCCACTTGTGCTTTTTCAAGTACTTTTAAGAGCTCCCTGGAAAAGAAAACATGTTCCTTGCGAGAAATGTAATCAGAATGCAAGAGCTTTAACAGGCACCAATCCCTATAAGCTTATTCTTAGTTACATTCAGTTGTGATGAGTTCTTTAACTAACAGTTTCTCAGTACTGTATAAAACACTATTAGTTCAATTACTAGTAATATACTGCTATCAGTGTTGGAACTTTATCTTTGACGTGAAGAACATTTGTAATGTTAATTCAATACAGGAAGATGCAGCACTATTGTAAAATGTATAAATTTAAAAAATCCATTATGTAATCATTTCTACAGGGACAAACACACATACTAAAAGGCTCCCTTACTAAAAGGCTAGCATAAGACAAAACCATTGAAGCTAAGTGGAAATAAACCCCACACCCAATCAAAACTCACTTTGAATTGTTTTCCTTGTCTTCTTGTAGTTGTAATGCTAGTTTTTGATTATGTTCTTTTTCTGTTTCCAGGAGTTTTAAGAGTGTCTAAAATATGAAGATTATGTGTTGCTGTTACAATTGTAGATGAAATAATGTAAGCAAAAACACAAAACAAAACCCCTGAACTCCTAAAATTGCAATGTAAATGATTAGACTATGAAAAGTCTTAAAAACGTGATTTTCAATCTGTCAGTGTGCCTTTAAACACTATAGCAAGCTTGCTATAAGGCAAATAGCGAACACTGCAGAAAAGCAGGCAAAATCGTTTGCAAAAGCCCTCGAGCTACCTCATTGCTGTTTTGCAGTCATTGCTGTCTGACAGCTTTTCAAGGACAGCATCAACTAAACTGCACGAGAGTGATCCAACACAAAAAGGCACAGATCATTTTAACAAGATCACTACCACTATAGAAAGTAGCTCCTTACAAAATTTTCAGAGACGGAAGAAATAAGCTGGCCTTAGCTAGCACTAAGATCAAAGATAACCAGCATTCCAATGTCAGGGATTTTTGCAAAGTGGTTTCTCATTCTGTTCCTAATTAATCCATTGCCCTCAAAATTCCCAAAGCAATTTCTTCAGCTAAAGAACTAACTACCTCATCATGCTATTGGATATTTTTTCTAGATTTTTCATGAGGAAACATATAATAAAGTTTTTAAAAATCCTTGATGATCTTACACAAAGCTCAGTTTTCATAGCTTCAGCTTCTTGCTTTCTGTCCTCGAGTTGTTGCTTCAGTTGGTCCACTTCAAATTTTGTTACTTCCTGCAAATTGTCATAATCATCCTGCAGGCTTGCTTTTTCCTCAAGAATCTTCTCGTGTTCTAGCCTTTTATTAAGAAAAAGCATAGTATTAAGAGACAAGAATTTGTTCCGTTACAAAATGTCTTAATCAATTACATTTTACAACCTTGAGAATCTTGAGAGTACAAGCTTGAGAGTATAGTCTTGTTTTTAGAGAAAATTAATTTTAAAAAAGTAACTATAAGGAGTGACAGCTTTAATCAGAATCACCAGATTTATAAAGAACTTTAAGGGACACTGGCAGAGATGACAGAGTACCCTTTTAGCTCCTATATATACTTCTTCCCAAATTATACCCATGTAGGAATTTTAGTCACTGTCTTGATTGTGTTGCTCTACCCCTTAAAAAATTGCTCTACAAAACCAACACATCATAACTATCAGAATGATGCAGGTAGCTAGACTATCTGTTTAATTGATGCTTGTGTTATTTGTCCCACATAAGCATCTTTCCTTATTCTGGACAAACATGGAGCCTTTCCTTTAAAATGATTTATTTCATTGAATCTTTCACAAAACGCAAAAGTTAAGAGGGATAAAAGAGTTGTTAAAGTTTTATGAATCATGTTATTAATAGAAGGCCCACAGTAAGAATATTGACCACAGACCCTCCAAAAGTCAGTATTTTTGATAGTACATAAGACATTGGGTTTCTATTCCAAGTTCTCAGTCTCACAATGCCCCACTCAAAAGATGACATCAGCTAAGACAGGACAAAATTGCAATAATGTAGTTAATCTTTCCAGGTAAATCATGGTTAACTTAGTTGTATTAAAGATTAAAAACATAATTGATTTCTGTTTCCTAATAATAATGTCGATTATTGAAAGCAATGCAGTAAGCTTTTTAGGCTTCGATTGTCTAGTTTCATTTTTTTTTGTAGTTTCTTTCTGCATGTATTTAGATCAGCATCATTATGTCATCTGCTTCTTGGGAACAGACTGAAGAGTAGTAGTTATTTTAGGCTTTTTTTTTTTATTAAACAATTTTGTCCTCTTTAAGACACTTTTAAGAGCCATAAGGTCTCTATTTATGAAGATCAAAAAACTAACAGGTAGATCCTACTTAATGGAAAAAGGCTATAGCAAACCAATATTGAAATTAAGGAAGCGTTATTTTAGTATTTTCCTGCTAATTTCACCATTTTCCACTAAGACTAGGAACGAGGCAGGAAAGACTTGAACAAGAAATAGGGAAAGGACATTGGCATAAAATAACAAATAAATAGATGATAAAGTGTAAGGTCACATGCAGGAAAGTAGAAATAAACCACTAGATTCACCTGGCAGGAAGGTTAAGATACTTCACCAGGCTTCCAACATACCTGACGCTATCCAGCTGGAACTGTACGTCCATATGTCTACCAGAGAGCTGAGTCATTTCCCTCTCTTGTTTTTCCCTAAAGGTGCTATACTCCAGTTTTACAGCAGACAGCTCCTTATCTGCAGACTGTAGGACAATGCGCAAGTCATGGACCTCACTTGTTAATACTGTTGAAAAACAAACAAATATTTTACTTTTTTTTTTTTTTTTTTTGAAAACTAAGCTAGATACAGAGCAACAAACACTACAGAATCTCATGTGACAGTCTCAGCAAAGTTCACATGTGTTTAGTAGAATTAACCTTGGAAATCAAAAAAAGAGGGATTTATAAGTAGGGTCAATGAAAAGAATATAAACAGAATCAAAATATTCTAGAGGATATTGGAGATTTCTGCAGTTCTGTAGAGTAATAATGGATTTATCCTTTATTTTTAGTTAATATTTTATCTTTAAATATTCTCTATTCTTTCATGTTCAGGAAGAGTAATCATCAGTATTGTACACTGTGAAAGAGCAGGTAGGTAAAAGGCTATTCTGGCAGTATTACATATTTTTTCTTTAATCAAGCCTGTAAGATATTTAACACCTGAAACCAAAACATCTACTTAACATGCGCTGGTTTTAATTCAAAACATTAAGGTTACTCAATACTTCGCCCAGCATTTCTGTGTTACATTGACTTACTATCAGCCTTGCTTTGAGCATCTTGGAATTGCTTTTCAAGTAACTTAATCTGCTCAAGGAGCTCCTGACGCTCTTTATTCCAGTCATTCCTTTCTGATGAAAAAAGCTTAAGAAAAGAGAAGTAAAATTTTTGAATGAAAATAAACATAGGAAAGGTCAAGTCAAACCTGTAAAAGCAACAACGTGTTAAAACATTTCTTCGCTGATTATTTATTGAAGATAAATAGAGTTTGGTAAATCCATACTAGTTCAAGAAAAATTATTTCAATACAACTGGAAAAGTGAAGTTATCAAAGGAGAAAATGTTCATTTAAAACCAATCCACAGCTTGGGAGCTGAGTGTTGCTCCAAAACAAAAATATTTCGAACAGGACTGCTATGGGAAGAGCTGTCCAAACCTTACTTGACATTTTCTACATTAAAATCAAAACTAATTAAGGAAGACTTGTGAATACTTTATGCGGTAATGACACTTCAGTTACAGTTAAGACAAACAGAATTTTCAGCATTCCAAAGAATCATAGAATCGCAGAATGGTTGAGGTTGGAAGGGACCTCTAAAGATCATCTCGTCCAACCTCCCTGCTCAAGCAGGGACACCTAGAGCACATTGCACAGGGTCACAGAGTGGTTAACATTGGAAGGGACCTCTAGAGATCATCTAGTCCAAACCCCCTGCTCAAGCAGGAACACCTAGAGCACGTGGCCTCTAAAAGGTCTTACAATTTTTTGGTGACTATTGATGTTTCGCAAGATACCATTAAATGTAAGCACAGATATCTGTGCTTACATTTGTGAGCATTTGTGTTTTTACTTATGTTCAAGAGCAGGTAGGCTCAAAATTGTACCATACTTTTTGAAGTGGAATATGAAGTTAATTGTAGTCCCTGTCTTTCTGCACAGCTCAGAACTAAGATTATAGTAGCATTTTCTTTTGAAAAATTAAGCAATGCTTCAGACCTCACCAAAAGATACATTTAGTTTGAGTGAAACAGGTTTCAGCCTGTCATATATGTGTATGTACCAGACACACACACATGTATGCAGACACACTTGTGAAAGCCCCTGCATTATACTGTTCTCTCACCTCCTGTAGTTGTGCAGAGTGATGCTCTAGCTTATTAACCTGCTGCTCAAGTTTTATATTCTTGCTTTCCTCTTCATCCAGCTTTGCCTGCACTGTACTCAGTTGTTCCTGTGGCACAACAGATAGTCAAAATTAGAACACCTGTCTTCAAGATATTCTCACATGCCATATGGCAGTCTGTGCATACTAAACATAAAAAGTATCAACTACTACTATTCTTTTAATAACCCAAAACAGCAGGAAACAGAACATTCAAAAATAAACTGGCATCCTAAGTAGCCCATCTCTCCCCTATTGCTGATAAAAACTGCCGGAACACAAGGAGATCCATCAGACAGTGTAAGGACTGAATCCTATAAACACTTAATATGCGCTTTAGTCTTCAGACACTTTTATCTTAGAGAAATAAGACTCTAAACAGAAGTTATTCAGAATATAGACTAGCTTAATTTCTTGCAGATCTCTGCACTATAGTAAACAAAGTGGGAACTGGACAGTTCTACAAGGTTTTACGCACAACGAAGTTCCTCATTTGCAGTAGTTCAGCTGAATTTGTAGCACTTCTCTATTCAGGAAGGGTACAAGACAATTGAGGTATAATTCTAGGCAAACAATATTTGGCAGGTTTCTTCAAATAATGCATTCATACACTAAGCATGGGTATTATTCCAAATACAATTGTCATTATGACCTTACTTAGAAGTTCCCTTGAAAACAAGCTATCAGGCCAGAATAGCAAAGTTTAAATGTTCCTGAGCATCCAATAAAATTACAGTTTGTTGAAAAATGTAAATAAGAGGTTCTCCAGACAGAATGCAGAGCATGTTTCAGCTCCACACATAATTAAGATATCAACTCCCAAACAATGTCAATATTTTCACTTTAATTCCCCTTAAATACAACATATAATTAGAGAACTTAAATTTGTCTAGTACTTCATTTTTTTTCAGTTTCAAGGTTCTTGTTGCAAAGGGTGGGGAGGAGTGGAGTGGAACAAGACAAAGCTGTTTCATGACAAAAAAAACCTGCTTTAAAATAAAATCAAGACATTCTTTAGTTTTACCCAGAACATTCACCTGCGCCACTTTGAGTTCCTCCGCAATGGCCTCATAGGCTTGTTCATTCATCTCTGGGGGAACTGGCTCTTTAAAAATGTCATCCATCATCTCGCCTGAACACTGAAAATCTTCAGAATGATAATCTAAGATTTCTGGGCTTATTCGAGGCACCAGGCGAGACCTTAGCTGGTAGGCTTTTGTTGGAGTGGTTATGTTCTGTTATAAAAATCACAAAGCAGCCTTTAACTATAAAACAGGATTAGACTGTCTGGTAACATTTTTGATGGTTTATGAGCAGAATAATGAAATAAAATGTTTAAAGCAGGTCACAGTTCTATACTACTATGATTTTTCATATTTGTCATCTGATTACAAGTAGTAGTGACTCAGAAAATTTCAGAATAAAACACAGCATTTCTAGTTTATCACAGTTTATGCCCGAATACTAGTTAAATAAAGGATCATATTAATAAATGTTATGTTCTCACACAATTCATGAGTAATTGTGTATGGTTTTAAGTACTCTTCTTGTACCTTAAGAGTTTCTCTATGTAGCTTATGTAATTGAGAGACTTCTCGCCGCTTGTGAGCTTTGGTCGCCTCCAGAATATTCTCAAGATGTTGGTTTGCTTTCCGAAGGGACTGAAGCTCCGATTCCAGTTCCATGTGCTTTTTCCTGTTCAGAAAAGTGTTACTACTGTCAAGAGGCTAGGATGCTCACCATCATCAATAAAAATAAGGTGATATATTGGCAATGAGCATCATACTGAAGCCCTCTTGCTTTCCCCAAGCCCTCTTCCCTCAAAAAAGCCCAGGAAGCTTATTTCTGATGGCACAAGGGAGAAATCATATGGATAACTAAACATGTCAGAAAGCTTATTTTTTACTGTGTAATGGATTCTGAGAGCTCTGCAATTTCTGTTAAAAAAAAAAAAAAGGGATATTACCCACACCAATATGGTTTTAAGCTTTAAAAGTTATCCAGTTATATGAGAAGCCTGAACTAGTGGTAGCGAGGATTAAAGAAAATCCTTTCTTGCTTCTCTGTTAAAGTACCCTTACAATGCAAAATAGTCTTAACTAAAAATCCACCACTTGAAAGAAATTTGGAAATACTTTTCATCAGGTATTTTGTTATTACTGTGACAGCTTGCTTTACTGACATAATTGAAGGGTCAGAGTCTACAGACAAACAGAAAATATTTTAATCTTTGGGGAGTTCCATGCTATCACCTTCCCTCACAACTTTAGGATCTACAACAAAATAATATAGGGAATAGAGTAGAACTATTACATTTTACAGTATTTTTAATAGACATATACACATTGCAGATATATGCAGTATTACTTGCACATATAATTACACATAAATTACTCTGAAACTAAAAGCAAGCTTTGTATTTAGATATTCATAATGAATCCAGAGGATCAAAAGCGCTTTTCTGTTTGATTACACTCCACTAAGAAAATGAAAATAATTCATTTCAGTGTGTCTAGAGGGTAATTTTAGAGGCACCAGGCAGAAAATAGCCTTCAATTTCCACCTCCCCATCGTTTCAGGCAAAGTAGCTTTGTAATGTCTTTTTTGCAGATTCGCGCAGTTGCACAAATCAGTACAAATGACAATGTAGGTGCAAGCTAAAAGAAACAAAACCCAGGTTCCCCTTTGCTTTCTAGGTGTATGTTATATTTGCTCAAATAATTTTTCCTTACATGTGAAGGCAGAGGACCTGTTCCCCCCCCTCCCTCCAAAAACTGAGTTGAATCAGATTAAGCCTCATGTTTGCATGTGAATATATATGTAAGTGAAGGTGTCATCCAGGACTTCCACACTATCTTGTGTCAGCTTCAAGGAGAACAGTGACAGTAAAGTCTCTACTGCATCAGTAAGGACAAAGTACACCCTCATGTTTAGATATCAGTTAATGAAAATATTCCCAAAACTAGCACAGTGAGACAAACTCCCCGTCTCATTAAGAGGATGACCATGAGAATATCTCCTGTATATGTGAAATATTTTTTTGCATCTTAGCATATGATGAGCTTGTAGAAAGAAATTTGCCACAGTGCAGACGTGCCTTCAGATTGTTTCACTTTTGCTTACTAGCCCAAAACAGGGATGAATTAGAAAGGATTTTGCATCTATGTCATGTTTTTCCTAACTCTAAAATGCAAAGAATGTATTTATTCTATTTCCAGAATGTGAGACTATTTTTCTCTTAGATCAATGTAAGTAGCAATATAAAATACATTAAAATATGGAAGATATTTCTATACTGTTTGTCTCACTTGGTTAGCTCTTTAAATTCTTCATATTCTTGTTTGGAACTTGCCAGTTCACTTTGGGTATGCAGCAGGCGGACTTTCAGCCTTTCAACAGATGCCATGGAGTTGCCCTCTACTGATAAGCTGGTGGAGTATAATTGATGACCTAAAAAACAGAAGATAGCCTCTCTTAAAACAGAGCCACTTTAAAGAAAAAAGTTTTATCAAAATTATAACAATTGCATGCTTTTGAACAGCAGTACAACCAAGACTGAACAAAATGATCATTTTCATGTGAGGGAAAAAAAAAAAAAAAAAAAAAAACAACACAAGTCAAATAGTTAGTATTACTACAACCTTCATGACAACTAATGAAGCAAAATGGGATTACAGATATTGTTCACAAAATGCACCAGGATCCAAAACCCCTACAGCTGTGTTTGCACGAAGGCTAGCATGAATAAAATGAAGCAAATTTGTTTCAAAGTTTGCAGGTATCACTTTGAAGGAAGGAAAAATATGTGAAGGACACTACAGTCCAGACAACAGAAATAGAGTAGGCTATTTTAGCTCATGAAAGCATTAGCTTATTTTTACCTCCACTGTTTTTATCTGTGGTTGAAGCTTCCAAAAAAGCCTTTTCTAGCTCTGCAATTGTCTGAGCATCAATTTCTTGGGCTCTTTTCACTGATTGCAAAGATTGAAGTTTTTTATTCTCCTCTCTGAGGTTATGGTTCTCCATGGCATACTTAACAATTCGTGGGTGTTGTTCCATCTGCAATGAGCAATATTTTTCAACAGTTTTTATTTTCCAAATAATGCTATACTGTTTTAACTGTTATACCACAACCTTTAGTAAATATTAAATTGCAATGGAAGAAAAACAAAAACAAAATCAGCATTCCTTAGAGTGGTTAAAATTGGTTAATAGAAGTGGTTAAAAATGCTTTATGTTAATTTTCTTATTCTCTTAGAGTTTAGTCTCAGAAGAAGTAGGTCCATGTTTTTCTTGTTTATTCTTTTACTGCTAATATAGCCTTAGAAGCCTTCTGAAGCTCTGGGTCTTTACTTTGCTACTTGCCTTCATCACTCTCCTCAGAATCTGGAGCTTGACTGTTTCATGGTGACTTACCAAGGCCATAACATTGGTTGCAGAATTCCAGTCACATAAGCTAGAAAACTCAGATAGCAAAATTGTTTTTAGAAACGAAAAATAAGTACCTGTTCTCTGAGCATCTGTACTTCCTTCCGCAATTCACTGAGGAAATCCTCTTGCTCTTTTGGCAATAAACTTCCACCAGCTTCTGCGTGTAATCTCTCCAAGCGAGCAATATGGTCTTCCCGGAATTTAACTATCATTTTATTGGACTGAATAAATTTCTCCTTCTTAGCACAGAGATCTTCCAGTTGTGCAATTTTTTCTAATAAAATCTTAAAAAGCACATATGTAAATTAAAAGAAAAAAATGACAGTGACGCTAGTTGAATTTCTAGGGTGTATGTATTGCATATGTATGCAAATCAACCAGAACTCACTTTTAACAATATTTTACATAAATAAACAAAAGCTACGTTTGAATACTCTGTGGTTCATTTAGAAAAGATCTGTAGAGAACAACAGTTCATACCAAGAATACAAATTCCATTACAACCAACTGTACTTATTGCAGAAACTTTACTCCGAAGAAGCTCTAGTACAATCCTGGGGACCAAATATCTATAAACAGTGATGCAAATAAGAGACACTCTTAAAAACTGCAGCTTTCCATTCTGTTCCTTCCAAAAGAAATTTGCACAATCCAGCACTGCTTCATGACATGAACCAAAGCACAATAAACAGGGATAACTGGGAGATTTGTCTGAACTTGAGATGAAACATTTTATCTTTGTTATTTGACTGGTTCCTCTGCAACCAAATATTGCTGTCTCGGGGCAGAGTATTTTTTGCTCAAGAATGAAGACAAAAAAAAAATCATGAAGAGTGTGTTTCACTATGCTCTAATCAGAGAGTACACAGAAAGCACTGTAGAATTGCACTGTTAGTGCTTTCTTACCTTGTTTTCACCTTCAGATTTCTCCCAGAACAACATTGCTTCAAGGAAGTTGTTCATGTAATTTAGGTTTTTCTTCTCTTTTTCAATAGAACCTATAGAAAAAGTCCAAGAACCTAATGTCATATTTGTTATGATATTAATTTAAAACAGGTTTTCCTGCATATCTAACACAACAGTTTTATTAAAAAACCCTACTCCTGTAGAAAAGTAATTCTTCTGCAAAGATCATAGGTCATTTCCAGAGCAAAGAAATGTTTAGACTGTAATTTTTAGACACATGTTAATTTTTGTAAAGACAACTAATATACATAATACTATTAGAAACAGTATGATACAATAACATAATACAGCTACAACATATTTATCGAACAATAGCTTTAAGATTAATTTTATTAAAATTAAATAATCAGCTTGTTTAGCTGAAAATATTTATAAAATACGAAAGCCCTTCTGAAATTAATTTGATAACACTAAGACAATAGTGGCATATTATTGTACTTTGTAAACATTGGAAGTGAACTAACTGGTTTATAAAAAGGGAATTCAGGAAAATTAGTGAGTCAAGTGGACAATTAATGATTTATTCTGGATGAAAATGTCCACACAAAGGATTAAAGGGTTTTAACTTTAAAAAATAATTCAAAATATTTTTCCCAAATATCCTCATACAGCCAGCACGATACTCATTTATAGAATAGTAATCACTACAGTATCTAGGGGCAGAATAACTACCCATTGTAATTTAATATATTAAAAAATCATGATTTAACTGCATACAGTAAATAGCTCTGATGAATTAGGTACTGTGCAAACTCTCTCCAGAAGTTAAACATTACTGGTAAGTGCAGAGGCAATGTGCAAACTTTTCAATACTGAAAGAGACTGAACAGTCCAAGTCTCACAAACTGGTATAAAATTCTAGATAGGAGCGAAACACAACTCAATACACAAACTTGTAAGAGGGAGAAAAATAAAATAGCAGCAGGGGAACAATATCCGAAAAATATTATATACAAATATAAGCAATTTACTCTACAAGACAAATGAAGTCTCTGTAGGCCAATGCCCACAAACAAAAATATTAATTATTCAGCAACTCAATAATTTACATAAAGCTCCAAAATGTTAGTCTGAAAAAGAAATTTTTCTCCCTCTACCCATGAGTTACCTTGAGATACACAGATTCCAGATATTGATGGCACTGAAGTAAGTTGAGCAAGCTGCTCTTTCAACTTTTTCACCTCAGCTTGCAGCTGGCTCACGTTTCCTTGTGTGTCTTCATTTACTACAGCCTTTCATAAATATTTTAAGAGAAAAACAGGAGGAGTTAAAAAAACTTACAGGATAATAGAAAACTCAAATTCTGCACAGCGACGTGTAACTACCTCAAGTCTTTGCATCTTAGGGAAAAAGAATTAATGGAAAAAGCAGCATTCAGTTTTCTGAGATTTCAGTAAATTATATTTCAACTAAAAAACATGTTCAGGAAAAATTTAATTTCTTCTTTGTTGAAGAATTTACCCTCCAACTTTCTTGACTAAAGGTAAGCAATATACAGCAAAGGAGAATTAACAATCAGATGTCAAACTGTCAAAATCCACTTAAGACAGAAATAATTTGCTTGGATGTTGACATATATGGAAACTAGATGCACTGAAATACTATCAAAACATTTTTAATCACAATTTTAGATTTTAATACAGATATAGTTACATTATATTGATTTTAATGGAGTGCTCAATGAACAAACAATGGATAAAAACAATTTTGTAAAATTTTTATTAGTCATCTGTTCTCTAGCTGTTGCACTCTATTCATAATGAAAATAAAACAAGCCTTCTCAAAAAAAAAAAATCAAAATCACATTATACATAGATTATTTTAAAATTCTAAGATTGCTTTCCTTAATATTTTTATTTCAGTTATTGAGAGCACAAGAGTACTTCAAACAAGTTATCTTGTTTGGCAATAAATATGTATTTTTAAAAGATAAAAGTTAGTTGCCACCAAAAAAAAAAAGTAACTCTTACCTTGTTTTTAATCAGCTTTGCTCGCTGAGCAAAATTAAGAGTGGACAGTGTTTCACCAAAACACCTGGATCCAGGATGAACATTTGCAATGATACAGGTTTTTGCATTGCCACCAAGGGAATCCTGTTTGAAAACATGAAAGTTGTTTCATTTGTGTGTTTTTGGTTATGGCAGGAAATCATCAACTTCCTCCTTACAGTAGCTATCATTTTGAACAACTGCAAAACAGGGTTTTATTTAACAAATCTCTATGCTGCTTAAGTTTCTGAAATTTCCTTTCTAACCTTATAGAATACCACTAAGAAAAAGCTTTATTTGGGTTTAAAACTCTGATTTTAGGTTACTAATCATCAGTTATTCAAACTGATGATTAGTAGCACTCAGCAAGAGGGGGGAAAAGTGTGGGAATAAAGTAGATTTTTCACTTTAAACTTGGTTATTAGCACCTTGGTATTGGCACTGGCCAATACCAATTGGTCATCTAGCCTACTCATGGCTCTTACAAATCTTCTAACAGTAGTTCTCAAAAAAAACAACAAACAAACAAAAAACCCACCCATACAAACAAACAAAAAACCAACAAAAAACCCCACATGATCCATGGACAATTGGGCAATTTGACCAAAGAAATAAATGAAACCCTCTCCATTTCACATGTTTTCAAACATCTCAGTGCAATTTGTCAAGAAGGTCTCAACTCTGTGGAGAAGGAAGAGGCTAAAAGAAAAAGCCCATAAATTTCCACAGCATTCTTGCTGCAGCGGAGGCATTTGCAATTCTCTTCCAGTTTCAATGTATTTTAGATTGACCTGGCGGGGAAGGAAAAAAATCTTCCAAGACGTGAGTCTGAGATGTACAAAAACCAGTAAAGGAATTGCTGGAAAATTCTCTTGTGATAGTAAAGACTTTTGCTAACTGCTATATTACTATATTAAAAGTTGGAGTTGTTTTTTCATATCTGGTTGCAAAATTTTCCTACGTGCTTGCATTCAGCAGAAAAATCTTTGACCATTCTACCTTTATTCTGTTATTCATCTTGAAAAGAGCCCATGAATTCTCAAATAGGAAACTAAGTCTAATTCCTAACATCATACCAAATCTTATGACACATAGGATAATTCTGGAAGCTTCTAAACACTTAAATATGCCCAGATTGTAGGGAAGAAAAATATGCTCCTTTTTCATTAACACATGCCTTTCTTGTGTTTTCACATATCTGCAAAAACACATTTCACACTCTCAGTGATCTGTTACACAAAAATTACCCATCATTACCAAAATATTTTTCAAGTTTTCTTTCACAACCACCCTCCTATTTCTGAGGATGTTTCTGTTTTTTTAAACTGAGGGGTAAAAAAGAAAAAAAGAAGCTGATTTGCAGAATCCCAATGATATATCTTACCCGCAGCAGAAAGGTGAGCTTGGAATCCCGGTAACAAATGTGTCTCTGTTTTCCATTACCCACATCAACAAGTGCTGTGATTACTTGGCCCAGGCAACTTAGTGATCGATTTATATTACCCGCTTCCTAAAAAGAGGAGAAAACAAAAGTGATGGTCTCTTTCAGGGATGGGGCAAGACAACATGCCTGAAAAAAATAAACAGAAACAAAAAACCCAGATGTTACAGAACTGACCTTCAATCTCAGTCCTTCTGTATGGGTGTCTTTTTGTCTCTCAGATCCTGCCAAATCTACCAGGTTGAGCAGGGACGATCGAATGTTCACAATCTCGTTGTTTTTCTCCATTGATTCCACTGTGATAGTGAAGACTGCATGCGATCTCGAGGATTCTCTGTTCATTGAGGTAGATGCAACACGACGGTTTCTCCAGCCCATAGTTAATACCTAGGCATAAATAAATAAATCAATTATAACAATAAAAGTTATCAAGTGTTTCGGACTGTACCCAGTAACTATGCAAAGGTGAGAAAAAAGTGTAATAGCTGCCCAAAACCACAACTTTTTTCCAATAAGGAAGTATTTTAAAAGGCAAAAAAGAGAGCAGCAACTTCTCACTCACTTCTTTCCTCCTGTAGTGCAACTACATTTTGAGAGTATAACATATCTAACAGTGGGGTATGTTAGCAGTATGCAAGGAAGGAAATACTTAAAATTGCAGAAGTATTGTGTCCTCTTGGAAGAATAAACCTGAATTTCTGGAACATACACACTGCCCTAATGGCCCCAGCTTCTGTTTTCTGTTGCTATTTCAGAGATGAACAGTGCATGCATTTGGGAAAGACTACTGCAGCTGCAATTGATACATTCCAACCTTACAGTGGGATAGTCAGGAAACATCTCCTAGAAACAAGAGATTTCTCCATTGTTTTTCGTGGAAAACGGAGATAGTAGAAAAGGGCGTCACAGACACGGTTCAGAAATATATACTCTAATCAAATGGAAATATTAATCAAATCAGCAATGAGATGTGTTGTCCAAACATTAGAAAGTAACCAAAGGACTACCTGGTATGCTTCAGCAGCTGATGACAGCACCTGTTCAACAGCACCATCAACAAAGACTCCTTTCTTGATGTGCTCTCTGAGAAAGAGTCCAGCTGAAGCAGAATCTAGCAAGTCAAATATCTGTTCATTGTAGATTTCAATAAACGAGCATTTGCAGAGAAAACTTTTTCCATTGCCAGCCTGAAAAACATGGTAATTAGCACTATAAACAGACTGGCTTTATTAAGCCTGGCATTTTGGCAATTAGTTTCTTTTTATGTACATGAACTAATAGTTTGGAAATATGTTCTCTATATTAGATACCTCTGATATCCAAACAATTACTGTCGCACAGAAAGCTAGGTGCATTTACAGACTAAAAATATAAGCACAATCGAGTCCAAAGACCGACCACCATAATTTAGCAGATTACTAAAAGGTCTTGTTGCTCGTTAATAATACTCGTGCAAGGCAGATGTAATGCAGCAGATTTAACTCGTACACACCAGGCTTGCTGAACAAATACTGATCACGCTAATCTTAAATCTGAAACATTACTTTCATTGCAATGATAAACATAAAAATAAATATACCTTTTCTTTTTCACGTTCAATTAGAAAAAATAAGTATTCAAAGCTCCGTGGAATTACACCTCTCAGACTGTGAGTGAAATTATCAGAATCAGATGGTCCTAAAGAGATTTTTAATCAAAAAAATTTAATTAGTTAGTACCGTTCAATAGTAATGATTGATCCTTTCAAGACATCTTATAGAGGACTTAAGCAAAGAGGTTTTATTCAATTTATGGCAAAACACTGCATAAACACATCAAAATCATGTTTCAAAATCTAAGCTGATACTCCATAATCAGATTGAAATGCATTCTAAGTGATGCTCGTGAAAGGTAACATAACTGCTAAAATATTGCAAGTCTAAAACAGCACAAACAACAAGGACTTCCATAGAGCACATATACAGATGGGCAGGCATTCTAGCACACCTGCCGTATTCCTGATCTGAAGAACTGAGAAAAAGATCCCACACTCCATTAATCTCTATGCAGTCCTCTAAAACATGCAGGCCACACTCTTTTTGCTTATTGCAGTAACTTTATAAATGCAAGTACAATATAAATGCATATAAAAATAACACTCTGGGAAATTAAATACCTAATTGGCTAGGATACAGTTATTTTTAAAACCTTCCTGTTTTCATGTGGAAGATTCATATTGGAAAACCAGAACTACTCATTCTTGAAACAACTTATTAAAGCTTTTGATTTCATTGAAAAGCTTTAGTAACTACTCATCACTCTTTTGGTATAGAGCATGAATAATTGCATTGACTGGTCAGCCATTTTTTTTTTAAACCATACAAGCTATTTACACAAAGACAAAAATCTACATCACCTCTGGTATTCAAGAAGGGTGACATTTCAACTCAAGACAAAAAGATTAAGAAAACACTGAAAGATCACGCTTAAGAACTTACCCATCATAGTAAAAGTTTTTCCAGATCCAGTCTGGCCACTAACAGGAGGGGAAAAAAAAGATCTGGTTGGAAATTTCCATTTATCTGCATATTTTGTGATATGCTGGTAGTTTAATAGCAGAAATATTTTCTCCTAAACTAAGAATTTATTTAAAGAAAAGCCACAGCCAAGTTGAAAACCAGTCAGCTAAAAAGACCTATGAAAACATAGCAGTAAATCTGGCCACAATTCTCTTGTATTCAACCATATTTCCTACTCCTCCAGCCATTTTCTTTGTTTCTGCTGGAAAAGGAAATAGTGGAACTCAGCATTGAAATAAGAGCATTCAAATTTACACATAAAATTAACTTTTGATCTCAATGTTTTGGGCTTTACATTGAGTTTATAGAACACAAAAACAAAGCAGAAAGAATCCTTCCTTCCAAATTGAATATATCATTTTTATAAACATAGCTATTAATCGTGCTACAAAAACTTAAGGGCAATTTCATTTCATTTTTCTGTGTTAGTATTTTGTAACAAAGTGGATTTAACTTCAGTTTTGCAAATGATGACATAATGAAAACAACTGGCTTTCTCTGTAACAACACAGTAAGAGAACACAGTACTTTTAAAATAAATATAACGGTAAAATTGAGATTAGTTACAACTCGCATTATTGGCTTTACATATTAGAAACACAACAGTGATAAATAGATGCCTCAGCAGGAGGAATAAGAAGTCCTCTTCAATATTGCAAGAATAGCCCCTACATGATGGTGCACTAAATAAGGAAGCTGTGGGACTCAGCTGTAACATTAAGCAAGGCTGTGGGACTCAAAACCACTTGCATTCATTTACACAAACTTCTCAAGTGTTGCAGTTGACAGAAAATGCCAGTAAATGACTTACTATGCAAAGATTGTTCCATTGTAGCCATTCATACAGGATTCAACAATGCTTTTGGCCACACTTGAAAATACAGACTCCTGGAGACAAGGGAGAGAGGAGAGAAAAAAACAAGGTGGTTGGCACCTGTGGTTCAAATCTCTTGCCTATTAGCATTGGCTGTGCTATAACCCTGTAATATATAAAATACATTGCATTATTTAAAGTCACAATGCTATCGTGACTCCTAGAGTTCTTTTGCAACACAACAATATATTGTAAGTATTTGTGACATGAAATCATACATCCTGAAAAAAAAATATTTCTTGTTTCACTCTAAAAGAATGAAACTCAGCGTCATAATGAAGACTTCCAAAAATGTATTATGTTAACAATTATCCCGTGTTTTGGATTGTAATTATGCCAAGTTGTTTGTACCATCAGTAGGTCAAAAATTAGCCTATCACACTGAAAAGGTCCTGTTTTCTGTAAATCAGTTGCAGTGTGCTGTATTTAGTAATCTGAACTGCTACTATAATCTATTACCATATATTTCTTAAACCTGCAGTGATAGCCTAGCTCCAACCAAATCATAGCCTGTCTCAGAGCGTATTTTTTCGTTTTTGCGTTGTGTTAAAGAGGTACAATACACCACCTTAATTTAGTGTAATATTTGTGTACTATATCTAAATATTAAACCAGTCTCGTTGCATCAAATATTAACATCCAAGAAATTTTAAGAAAGGTTTAATATAACAGCCGCCATAATCTGGAGAAAAAAGCGCAATAGTGTTAAAAGTTTTTACCTGCGTTGTTTCCATATTTGCAACATAATCAAAAGTGAAGATCTTTGGCTCGGGCTTCGAATGCAGACGAATGGTGTTTGTTGAAAGAACAGACAGACACAAGCCTTGATCCCCATCGGGTAACGCAGTTCCCTCTGAAGGGGGACGTACCCTTACGTAAACTTTGATAGCATCACCTTCAACACTAAATGAATATGTATGCATTAGATTATTTGGAAATAGATCTCTCAGCTGTTTGACAAAATGAAATCACAAAAATCAGATTAAGCATGTGAATTCATACAAAAGTCATGAATTCATTACAAGTCAGATTCATTGAAGCTAAAGATAAGGCAGATTTAAAAGCAAAGAACAAGTTAACTGGGATTTATGGCTGTTGCATTTAACTTCAGCTCTAAAAGAGCGCATTTCAGAGAGAACTTGACACGCGCATAGATTATAAACAACAAAGCTTTCGTTATATTAAAGGCTTTAGAATAAGCTAAGATTTCACAGTTCAAGCATCCTTCTTACTACTGGAGGTTAGAAGAGATTTTATACATGCAGCAGATGATGATATATTCCAGCAAGAAAGTTACTAGCATTTTTCATTGCTGCTCGCAAAAGGAACAGAATAAACTTAAAAGTGTAAAATGACTTCATGACTGGAATGTGGGATAGGGACATGGTAGAGGAAAGGGCTAAATTCAGGGAGGAGTGGAGAGGTAAGTGGTATTGGATTTGAGATAGATGACAATTAAATTGTCAAAACTTTTTTCTGTATGTAGTATTGTTTTGGGTGAGGACAGAAATTTTGATTTTTCTTTTAGTATACAACTTCCTGGTGAAATTCAAGCTTACTGTCCCTTTGGTGATAATCCAAAATCAGCTGTAGAGTTAATACACAAATGAGAATTTATCATAGAGCAGCATTCCAAGATGAACTTGATGTCTCAGAACCACTTTTTAAATTAAGAGCAATTCTAAATTTAGAGAGAAAGACAATAATCTTATGCAGGAAATTCCTGAAGAAAAACATAAATGTTTGCATGTTTTCTGCAATGTGATTATTCATATAAAAGAACTGATAAATATTTCTTTACCTAGGCAACTTCAATGAAGGTGACGTAGAGTCACGCAAATCTATAAAACAGAAGTGAAAAAAGCACATAAATACCAAGCGTACAGGGTTATCTCAAAAACAATGAAATAGAAAATACTGTAATCAATACTGAGGGAAATAAACAAAGAGCTTTTTACATGTTTGTTCCACAATGATGTGGAACTGAACAAAAGCTATCTTCCTTTGACAGAATTTTTCTTGCAAAGGTAGAGAATCCTCTAGTCCTGCAACATAAGCACGTAGAAGCTTTAACTTTATGCTCACAAGTAGCCAGTTAAAATGAATATATTCATTGAACACCAATTTTATGTGAATGCATATGAAGTTTTTGTGGGTATTTTGGAGAATTAGAAACACAAATATTAATAGCATCGCATATTTCCATTATGTTTTAAAATTGTTAACTCAGTGCAGGCAAAAGACCACACAGTATGAAATAGCTGTATTGATGTGATTGAGAAATTGCACCCACAAGTTGTGGGCACTTATTCTGCTTTCACATGATTGAAAAGAGACTGAGCATCAGTCTGTAATGCACACGGTCCTTTTGTACACACGATCATCACTCTGCACAGCTTAAAATTTCAGGCAGAGAGCATGAATAACTCCATGGACAGACAGGGTGACTTGTTTTTTACTTAAAGATGAATTTGAGATGAAATTACTCCACATAGTGTGATAAAAAAATTCTATTTTAAGGACACAAGTAAATACAAATAAAACAACAATCAAAGGTGATTTACCAAAATATTAAGCCTCTAAACTTGGACAACTTTTACTGCAGGGGGATTTAAACCTCTGCTCTAAGAGTAGGATTAGTAATAAGGCACAAGGGCATAGATCTCGATTAGCTTTCACGCTGCACAAACATCCTTCTACTCCTACACACAAAACAAATACATGGAAGAGTGTTGGAGCCTGTTTGCTTCAACCCACAAAACATTTCAACAGTGCATCAACTTCGTAGAGCCAAAGAATAAATACTTAACTCAGAAGCGTCAAAATAAGTCAGCATAAGGAAAATGGTACATTTTAAGGAGTGAAGCCAGACAGAGGGGTAAAGAGGCGGGCATTTGTCGGTGGGACACCTTGAGGAATCATCGGCCCCTGTTACCCTCCCCAGCTCCCAAATGAAGGGACTGGCCCCGAGTAAGGGCATTCCAGGGGCACGAGACCTTCGCACCAACGGGAGCTGAAGCTTTCACATGCGGCGAAGACTTGACGAAATCAGGGCGGGTGGGATAAAAGGAGGGGGTGCCAGAGTCGCGGTCCCGGGCACGGGCCCTGCGCTGCCCGCCCGCCCGCGCGAAGCGCCACGGCCGGAGCGCGGCCGCTCCACACACGGGGCACGGCGGCAGAGCAGGTAAAGGGATAGGGAAACGCTCCGCATCCCCCCTAACCTTTGGTGCCGGGAGCCATGGTCCTG